CAAGCACATTACATTTATTGTGCAGTGTATTTTTATTATTACATTATAATGTATAATGAAGTAATTATACAACTCACCATAGGTCGGGAACCCCTGCCTAAATGTGCCATATGCTTGTGTTAACACATGCCTATGGTTGCTTCTTCAAATTATTTAAATTTCCTATTGCAGATGAACATTGACAGTCTGGTTGTAAATAACCCTGGCTTCAAAATAGAATTCCATAAATATTTTAAAGACACTGCCATAAACTCTGTGCTAGGTAACATCAGTGGTGAGAGAGAGGTAGAAATACCAAGATTAATGCACTGCACCATTGGCCATGAAGGAGTAGGCATTGTTGGAGGGGAGTTAGAGACCTGACTGTAACACAATCCAGTTCATATAATGCAGGCATAGACCAAACGCTTTAGAGGTTCATGGAAAAGAGAAAGAACTGGAGGTTTCTAAGAAGGCATAATTCAGATATGGAACTTGATTAGACTTAGAAGGCTGGGCAAGACTCCAGTAGTCAGGGGGTGGGGGGAGCTGGGTTGGCAACTTCCTGTCTTCCCTGCTTCAGAGTTAATACTGCCCATTTGGGGGAGGTAATTTTTACTAAAACAATGCTTTGATCATGCCATTTACTGGCTAAGAGACATTGGATATTTTCTGCTTCCTCCAGTATAACAGCCAAATTCTCTGTAATTGGCCCCAACATACAGTTATTGTGTACTAGCTGACTTTTTTTTTTTTTTTTTGAGACAGAGTCTTGCTTTGTTGCCCAGGCTAGAGTGAGTGCCATGGCGTCAGCCTAGCTCACAGCAACCCCAAACTCCTGGGCTCAAGCGATCCTCCTGCCTCAGCCTCCCGAGTAGCCGGGGCTACAGGCATGCGCCACCATGCCCGGCTAATTTTTTCTATATATATTAGTTGGCCAATTAATTTCTTTCTATTTATAGTAGAGTCGAGGTCTCGCTCTTGCTCAGGCTGGTTTCGAACTCCTGACCTTGAGCAATCCGCCCGTCTCGGCCTCCCAGAGAGCTAGGATTACAGGCGTGAGCCACCGCGCCCGGCGTACTAGCTGACTTTTAAGGTCGTTTACAAACCTGAGTCTGTGATCATATAATTCTGCCATAATAGTTTTATTCTCTACAACTTCCCTACACACCTCATATTTCTACCTCCTGGCTTTGATAATACCAGTCTATTCTCTTGGATGTAGTTGTCTGTCTTCCTTTATTAAAATTTATCTTTTAAGTTTTTTGTAAAAATTGCAGATCATATCAGATCAAAATGATATTTCTTGTCTCTGAACATTGAGAACAATTACTATGCATAGGATTTATTTGAAAGTCACACACATCCTTGGCATACTCTTCTGTTATTTGAATCTTTTATCATGTATATACATAGATAAGGATTAAGGGAATGTGTAAAAAAATTGATCTAAGATATAACATTATGGGTTCTTTTTCCTTGAATGTCTTCTCATGTACTTTTATTTTTATAGAAATTTAAATTTCCTGAGTAGTAGGAAATTTAAAACATACTTACGTATGTTTTATAATGTTGTAGAGAAAACCAATTAAGTAACTATATCTAACTCTATCCAAGGGCTCAAATTAACTTGTAAGTCTTTACATGTTTTTTCATGAATATGCTGTTAAATAAGTACTTTGAAATATTTTTGGTTTAGTTATTATATCATACAGATGAAATATGATAAATAGTGTTTTCTAAGTAGGCATCTTATTTACTTTTTATTATGTTATTTTTAAAGTAACTTCAAGTACCTAAATATATCATTAACAATAGTACGTTTGGACTTATGGAGCCAGTTGCTATAGAAAGATTTTTTTTTTGATGGAAAGTAAGAGTAGCTTAATGTTTGTTCTAACTCTAATATTTGAGATTGGCTTGTAAAATCTATTATAATTTTCCTTCTGCATATTATCACAAGTGCATTATTTTATTGATGGGAATTGTCAGTAGACACCCTCTTTATCTGGTTTACCTAATAAGCTTTTGAGAATAACTTTGCATCTCAAGGGGTCTTGGACCTAAAAGGAACCTAAGAAACAGCTAGTTCAGTCCTTCACCTCATATCTTTGCCTCTGCTTCTGTCTCTTTCTTACAACACACATATACACATTTTACAGCTGAGAAACTGAACTCCATTTAGATCAAACTCTGCCCAAGGTAGCAAAGGAGTCTTCAACAATCTCTGTGCCTTCTGTTTTATATTCAGCTTCTTTTCCCTTATATGATTTTAAGGTGACTCATATGTAATTTTAGGGTCCCCAATTTGTCCAAAGTAAACACCTGTGAGTCTCTGATAATTCTGAAGTTACTACCACTGGTCAGTGCTTTATTGAAAACATTTCCCCTTTAAAGAAAACCTTAAAACACAATTATGATGCTTGAAAGAGATAACTGTAGCCCATGAAGAAGGCATGATCACATTTTAATAATAGTTTTCCCATTTATTCCTAGAAGGGAGGGAAGCCAGGAGGGCCCTGGAAAGGTGACATTTAGTGGAGACAGAAAGGAAGGAAGAGCGCTGAGGCACTAGGCGAATACTACTCGAGATGCTCCGTGCGCCGGGGCATGGTGAGCAGCCAGAGGGCGGTGTGGACACACTGGATCCCGGGCACAGCCCGACGTGAACTTCACCTCTCCTCCAGCCGCATCTACAGAAACCCGAGAAAGGAAGACGTGTATTATTCAGAGAAATGACTGAAGAGAGATGAATGTCACAGTGATTAAGGGAATGAGCCATTTAACCAAAAGCTAGAAAAATAACAAAAAATGAGGAAGGAAGAAAGAAGCTGAAATTGTATAGTAAATTACCAATTGAAAAACAAAAATACACACAAAATATCTTTGCAAGCAAATGGTGTATGGCCTTTCACTACCCATCCCCTGCCCACTCTTGCTTGATTTAGTATGTGGTTTTCATGAGTTTGAGTGAAGGAAAGCAGCTTAATTACATCAAAGGAGGTTATAAGGAATTGCTATTTCGAACACCTGTTCTATACATGGTGTTGATTTCTAACTTGCTATTGCACCATAACAGTATCCCATCACTTTAAATAGTTGACTGATGGCTTTAGTCTACCTTTTCTCTATTTTAGGCTAGTCCAATACTCAGCCCCATGTTAAAGAGGGTTTAGTATTGCTGGTTCTCCAGCAATACTTTGGTTATTCCCAGAATAACCAAAATTCATTGTATTTTTTTTTTAATATTGATAGGTGTTTACTCATGGAACCACAAAAAGAAAACCTACATTCTTTTGAGAGATGGAGTAACATATTGCTTAAACGTGTGGGCTCTGGAGTTAAACTGATGGAGTCATGTCTGGCTTTTAACCCTCTGTGCTCATGTGTAAACTGGGGGTTCCAATAACATCAGCCTCACTGGACTTTTCGTTCAACAGATGTTTGTCGAAGCCAGCTATGTGCTGGGTGCTTTGTAGCCCTAGGGAAATAATAGACACAAACTGAAAATAAACGGTGTGGTATGTTGGAAGGTGCAAAATGCCATAGAGAAAAAGCATGGTTAAGGGGATGAGAGTCTTGGAGGGAGGGAGGGATACAGTTTTTAAATAGGATGCTCAGGATAGACTTAAGCAAAAAGGTAAAAATGAAGATGTTGGGAGTCATGTAGACGTGTGGGGCAGATTCTTTTCCTGTCACATTCTAGGCAGCTAGCTAGCCCGAGTGCTCTGAGGTGCTCCCGAGTGTGCTAGGAGGTTTGAGAAAGCGCAGATGCCGGCATGGCTGGAACTTTAGCAAATGAGATGAAGCGAAGGAGGAGATGAGTCCAAGAAGTGGAGAGGGGGGGTTAGTGGAGTAGGGCCTTGTGGGCCCCGGTGAGGACTTGGGCTTTTGCTATTGAGTGGAATGGTGTTGACCACAGGAGAGGGTTTTGAGCAGAAGGGTCACTTTAGCTTCTGTGTTGAGAGTCCGCATCACAGGGACAAGTGTGGAAGCAGAGACCAGAGAGTAAATGATTGCGGTCATCCAGGTGAGAGGTGGCAGCAGCTTGGACTGCGGTGGGAGCCGCAGCAGTGGTAGAGAGATGACTGAATTGTAAATATGTTACAGGAAGGCAGTCAGCCGCTTGGGTGTGGGATGTGAGAAACGCGAGTCAAGGATTTTGGCCCAAGCACTTGGAGGTATGGTGTGGAGTTGCCGCTAAGAAGGGGGAGACTATGGATGGAGCAGGTTTTAGGGAGGATCTCAGAAGTTCAGTTTTGACATGTTAGGTACGAGATGCTCATTAGACACCCGAGGGAAGATGTCGAGTTGTCAGAAACATGTACGAGTCCAGAGTTGGGCAGATAGGTCCACACTGGAGATGCACTGAGAGAATTGTCAGAGTATAGTGGAATTCCAAGCAATGAAATTGGACAATATCACAAAGAGTTTGAGATATGGAATCATAATACTAGGTACCACCACTTACTAGCTGAGTGACTTTGGGAAAATCACTTAGCTTCCCTGTGACTCAGTCTCTCCATCTGCAAAACAAGAAGAATAAGAGTAACTGCCTCATGGGGTTGTTGTGAGAATTAAAATGACTAATATCTATGAAGTACTTAGAACATGGTATTTAGTCATGTTCAGTAAGCATTAACTTAATTTTCATTACAACTATTCTGTATACCTGTGGGGCATTGCAAATATATCCACTCATATTTTTATTAATGTAGCATTGTGGCTTTTCTTCCAGTGGTGGTGTTATGCTTCTGGTTTGCACTTATTATTTGCTACTAGGAATCCCACTGAGTTGGTTTTGCCTCCAGAATTAAACTGACCTGGATTTTTTATATTAGCTCTGCCTCAGCTATTGATCTATTGATATCTTTTTTACTTTCTTTTCTTTTCTTTTTTTGATGATATCTTTTTTAAAAAAGCTTATATATATATATATATATCTTATTATAGTGTCTGTTACTTGTTCCGAAAAAAGTCTTACATGTTTCTTCAGTGCTGCTTTCCTTTGCTTTTCTCAGTGCTCAGCAGAGGAGCAGTCAGGTTCACAAGAAAACCACAATTGGAAATCAGGTAGGAATTACACAAGAGAATCAGTGCATGCCTGCCCCAAAGAATTTGAACTAAATTGCTTGATTGACGATTTTTTTAATGCAAATTAATCACGTGCAAATTTTGCTTGAAGTGCAGCTTTTTATTTTGTTTTGGTTTTGCTTTTAAAGTTTTTGGAGTGAATTTCATTTCTTTTTGGCTATTTTATGCAGTTAACCATATTGATTTATTTTAAATAACTTTTCTGCTACTTGCTCTGCATTTCAAACGTGACTCCTCGTGTCCTATTTTGCTTGCTTACATTACTCCTAAATGGAATTTAACATTGAATCTGTGAGTCAGTTCAAGGTTAAAATTTGGTGAGTAGTTGCATGAGCTTTCCGGGGCTGCTGACTAGTTCACACGTTTGCACAGCTTGGTATCAGTGAAGGGACAGCTCATAAAGAAGGCAGTTGTTGGATTTAATCTCTGCCACACTAAATTCTGGTGGTTAATGAAGATGTTAATTCCTAAGAAGATCTCATCTTTTAAGTTTTTATGTTTTTGGGCTGACCAGCTGTCTCTGACTAATAGCGCTCTGCAGAGATTGTATTAACTCGACAGTTTGCTGTTTCTTTTATGTTCTATGTGATAATGAATATTTGTATTGTTATTTCTTTTCAAGTCAAAACAATGATGGTTTTATAGTTTTTTTAAGAAATGCAGAGGTACAATTATTGAACAAATTGAAACCTCTGGTCTAGATTTTTTTTTCCATTGTTTTGAAAGGAGAAGAGGTAATAACAGACTTTATTTTAAAAACTTTTTTTCTGAACTAAAGCATATAATTCTTTGCTATTTCAGGGAACCAATCTTCCGCCTTCAAGGCAAATTGTACGAGCTAAGTTCTGTAAGCTTTACTGTTGCTTTTTCATTTAGCTTCCCAAGGGCACAGTTTGTCTTTAACTGATTAACTCAACTAGCGCTTGCTACTAATTTTTTTTAAACTTAGATTGTCTTGTCCATAACACCCTATCATTGAAATAAAAATCCTATTAAGAGGGTTCATCCCTTCACTGCTAATAACTTGCTGTGATTGAAAGGTATGAACTAGTAAACTCTAAAATGCTGTAATATTAAACCCTTAACACTGTGGGTGCTTTGATATTTCTCTAATTTTAATGAGCCTTAAAATAATTAAAATCATTAATGATCTTCATCTCTGTCCTTTTATGCTATGTTGTTATAAGGTTTAAGCCTTTCTCTTCCCTTTGTATGATAATATTTCCCAATAAGTATAGATGATGCTTCTAAAAGGTGGGTGAATATTAAACATCTGATTTTGTTGTATTTGTTGATAAGCCTAACCGATTCCAATTATTTTTACTTATTTTTTTTTAAAAATAATGAAACAAGCAAAATTATATTATTGACATTTTATGTGGCTATAGACATTTTATGCCAGCTATCTTTTTTTTTTTTAATGGAAGTGTAAAGTCACTGTCAAATGACTAGCCATAGGCATTTAGAAAAAAGTTACATTTCATTTCTACCATAGATGAAGCAGGCTTATCCTTCTAACTATGCACAAGTTAAAAATGAGATTGGAGGAGGGGTCATGATGTTTTGGAAGACACAGTCTTTGGACCTTAGACATATCTGGGTTCAAATTCTGTTCTGCCACTTAGGAGCCATGTGGCCTTGGACAACTTGAGCCTGAGTTTGCTCAATAGTATGATGGGAAGAGTAGAAAATAACTCAGTAGGGTGGTTATGGAAATCAGAAATAATATATATATATAATGAAGTTTACAGCTAGGTACCAGATAAGTGTCCTGTAAAGAGTAGAAACCTTGCTCCCAGAAGGTAGGTGCTGCTTCTTGAAACTTTTTGGGGAAAAATATTAAGTATAAGAAAATTATAAAAGTTACAAAATGAGAAAAAACACTTGGGAAAATTGGAAGCTACGACAAATTGTTCTGATGCCTGCAATACCCAGATTGTGGCTGGATGTGGTATAAAGAATTTACCTACAAAAGTTTCTTGCTGGTCAGAAGCATCTCTAGCTCATAGATGTATATACTATAGGAGCAGCATTAGTAAAATAGCACAAATGCATATTTTCAACCAGAGAAAATTCAGAGCAGCTTTTAATTATATTACTTCCAAATGATAAAATCATGCTAATTATATTTTTCTGGGTACTTCAAAGCCCATACATTAAGGAAGTTTTATAACTAAAGGTAATAGAATTGGGTGAGTGTTATAATAGAATGTAGATCCCTTATCTAAAATACTTGGGGCCATTTGGGGGCAGACATGCCTTTAAGGTAAGAATTTTGGGGATCTTACAGCAACAATACATGGACTATATCATATATTACCCAACATTCCTGTGGGGTCAGAGGCAGCACCCTGTAATCAAACATGTTCTATTTCTGTAGTGAAACAAGTGAATAGTCACACTGAGTAGACTAAATGGAAGATATAAATCCTCTCACATTAGGTCAAATTTTGCTTCCAAATTTGTTTTAAAAAAAGAAGAAGAATAAAAGAAAAGAAAAAGGAAAAAAACCCACACAAACAACAACTTTAAATTTGCAAGTAAGGGTTTTTTAACCAGAATATATAATTTTCCGGAATCAAATTCAATAATTTATTCATGATATAATATATTTTAAGGAATGCTTTATTGTTATTCCTGCCTAGTAGAAATGAGTGATAATGACTTAAAATTTTTTTCTTTATGAATTTAAGTATCTGATGTTGGTTTGGGTATATATAAAAACAGTTTTGCCTATTAAGAGGCTTCAGTCCAAGTGTTACCAAAAACTCAGCACTTATGCACGAGGCTGAATCAGAAGAACTAGGACAAGTGGTTTGGGTAAGAGGAAAGAGGTTACTTTATCAGCAAGGGAAGAAAAAATGGCAGACCTTCTTGTTTTAAAATCCAAATTTGCTGAATATAGGCAGAAATACAGAGCTTTTAAAGGGAGGGCCCCTCAGTTCTAGGCTAATGGGGTTATAGTTATTCTAAGCACCCTGTCTCTGCCAAAGACAAAGCCTGTGAACTCTGCCTGCCACCCACCTGGGAGTCTGGCACCAGTGGGAGTTTTCTCTTTTAACAAAGGATTTAATCTACCTCAGGGATGCAGGCCAGGCTGCAGTTCCTAAAAGAGTGGGGGGAATTTTAAAGAGATAGAAAAGTGTGTGTTGTCCCCCGTCCCCCCCCCCCTTCCCTCTGTTACACAGGGAGTCTTAGAGCCCAGCACTCTGACTGATGCTGGCTTTTATGGTTGGTGGGTCTGAAATACCCTGCAGTATCCTAGCAAGTGGTTCATCCATTTTGATATATTTTTTTAGGACTCCTTGTTGTAAGAGATTGCTGTGCACTATCTGTTCTGAAATATTTTAGAATGATATCTGGAAAGCAAAATGTTTTCTTAAAGTCTAAACCCCATTTGTTTTTGTCTGCCTAAAAATTTCAATAGTTCTACAAATTAATGTCAACTAATGTACAAAAAATGTGAGCATATATTTCCCCTAAAGTTGGACTGGTTAGAAATTTAAATTTAAACTTCATTCATCTCTCCACTCATCGAACATGTATTTGAAACCTATGTGTACCAAAATCTGTGGTGAGTGTTTAGAGAGCTTCACCCTCAGGGAGCTCACAGCCCAGTGGGGAGGATGGTAAGTAAGAAAATTGAAGTCTGCCTTCTTTTCCAAGGCTAGCTCCTCCTGATTCTGGAGGTCTTACTGAAACATCACTTCTGCAAAGGGCTGTCCCTGAGTGTCAGATCTAAAGTTACACTCCCTCTCATTATACATAGATAATGTCCTATACTATCTATTATATTTTATTATCTGAAACAATTTTATTATTTTTGGTCTTTCTTCATTAGGATCTAAGCTCCATTGAAGTTATTTTTGTGTTGCTGAAAGCAGTGGAGTATCATTATAAGGTTTTAAGCAAAATCATATCGACATTTTAGAAAGATCCTTCTGCATATAGAGTGGATAAAGGCTTTGAAGGGGGGAGACAAGACTGGGAAAAGGACACTAGTCAGGAGGCTGTTGAAGACAAGAGATGATGGTGATCTGGACTTAGGTATTTGTATTGGATTTGAGGAGAAAGTGATGAATTTAAGAGATATTACCTCTGTAGAAAGCAATATGGAGATACCTCAGAGAGATACAAGTAGATCTACCATTTGATCCAGCAATCCCATTACTGGGCATCTACCCCAAGAAACAGAAGACAGTCTACAAAAAAGACATCTGCACTAAAATGTTTATAGCAGCACAATTCACAATTGCAAAGATGTGGAAATAACCCAAGTGCCCATCAATATATGAGTGGATTAATAAAATGTTTGGTAGAACTCTGAAGTGTAGCCATCTGGTCTGGGACTTTTCCGTTTGGGGAGGCTATTAATGACTGCTCCAATTTCTGAGCTTGAGATTGGTCTATTCAGGAATTCTGTTATCTCCTGGGTGAACTTAGGGAGGTTATATGAATCCAGGAATTTGTCCATTTCCTCCTCGTTATGTAGTTTTTGGGCATATAGTTTTTTATAGTACTTAAAAATAATGTTTTGTATTTCTGTGATATCTGTTGTGAACTCTCCTTTTTCATTTCTTATTGAGTTTATTAGAGTCCTTTCCCTTTGAGTCCTTGTCAGTCTAGCAAGAGGGCCATCAATTTTGTTTATCTTTTTGAAAAACCAGCTTCTGGTTTTGTTGATCTTCCGTAAAATTTTCTTGTTCTCCATTTCATTTAGTTCTGCTTTGATCTTCGTTATTTCTTTTCTTCTATTAGGATTGGAATTGGCTTGCTCTTCTTTTTCCAATTCCTTGAGTCTATTCATTAGGTTGTCAGTATTTAAGCTGTCTGTTTTTTGGATGTGAGTATTTATTGCTATTAGTTTTCCTCTCAGGTAAACTTTTGCTATATCCCACAGGTTTTGGTAACAAGTGTCTCCGTTATCATTTTGTTCGAAGAAACTCTTGATTTCTCTCTGAATTTCCTCCTTGACCTAACAATTTTTCAATAATAGATTGTTTAGTTTACATGATTTTGTGAGACATTGAGTGTTTCTACAGGAATTGAACTGTAACTTTATACCACTATGGTCAGAAAAGATACAAATTATACAAGGTAGAATTTCTATTTTCTTGAATTTTTTGAAATCTGATTTGCAGCCTAGGATGTGATCAATTTTGGAGAAGGATCCATGGACTGCTGAGAAGAATGTAAATCCAACTATATTTGGGTGGAATACTATCGCTCTTTGCCGATGATATGATATTATACCTAGAAAACCCCATGGATTCATCCAAGAGACTCCTGGATTTGATAAATGAATTTGGTAAAGTTTCAGGTTACAAAATCAGTATACACAAATCAGAAGCATTCATATATGCCAAGAACCATCAAGCAGAAACTCAAATAAAAAACACAATACCTTTTACTATAGCCCCACAGAAAATTAAATATCTAGGAGTATATTTAACAAAAGATACGAAAGACTTATACAAGGAGAACTACAAAACACTAGAGAGAGAAATTGTAGAAGACATAAATAGATGGAAAAATCTACCTTGTTCATGGATTGGTAGAATCAATATTGTTAAAATGTCAATATTACCTAAAGTGATCTACAGAATTAATGTAATCCCCATCAGAGTACCACCATCATTCTTTACAGATCTAGAAAAAATAATTCTTCACTGTGTGTGGAACCAGAAAAAACCTCGTATAGCCAAAGCAATCTTTTTTTTTTTTTTTATTTCGGCATATTATGGGGGTACAGATTTTATGGTTTCAATAAATGCCCATTTCCCCCCCTCCCCCCAAAGCAATCTTAAGTAAAAAGAACACACTGGGAGGCA